GAGGATGCTAGCTGACGAGGGCTCTTATGAGACAGGGGTAATCTTTATCTCCCTGCTCCCTGCCCAGTCCTCCTGCCAGGTATGCTCAGGTGCACACACATTCCTCTTCTCAAGGGGTAAGACAGTATTCTTCTTAGATACCGAGATGGGTCACCCAGTGGCTAAGGTGAAGGTATTTTACATGGATCCTGACTGAAGGTGGAGATCAGAACAGTCATGACCTTGCAGGGCTTCCATCACCACTTTGAGTCCCTGTGAGCAGTGTGGTCACGTTGGGCTTTCTGGAACCACTGGCTGTTGGTCCTTCCCTGCTTTCCTGGGGGCCGGAGGGTGGCCGCTGCTTTTACTGTGCAAGTCTTCCCTGTGATCCCCACAGTACAGTGGTTCCTGGAGGAAGGCTAGATCCTAACCCTGGGGCCTGCTCAGTTCCAGTTCCTGGTACCCAGGGCCTGCTGAAGACCTGCAGACCCAAGCATGGGCAGCTGGGCTCTGGGTCTGCCCAGGGTGCTATGTTTAATAATTTAGAACCACCTTTGAGATGTTCTAGTCCAATCCTCAAATCTCACCTGTGTGGATACCCAGGTTAAAGGTTTAAGACTGCCCTAAACCACATGGGTGTCTAATGGCCAAGTTGGGGCTGGAGCTTGGGATTCCTGGGTCCACCCTGGGTATCTTCACTTCCCAAGCTCTGTTAACCATAAGATGTGTGTAGCACCTTCCTAAATATGAGGTTGGAATGTCCAGGCATTATTATCCCTACTTGAGACATGAGGACAGTGGGTTCTGAATGAGTAGCTGCAGAGTGACCTGCCCGGGTCAGTTGCTTGAGTAGTGACATGGCTGGCATGAAAGTTCCCCTCTGTGTTTGTCTCTAGTGTGGTTTTCCAGAGTCAGCAGACCATGGGAATGGATCCAGGCTATAGAATGCAGATATGGTTTGGATTTGTGTCCCTGCCCAAATCTTACCTTGAATTGTAATCCCCATTGTTGGAGGAGGGGCCTGGTGGGAGGTGAGTGGATCATGGGTGGATTTCCCCCTTGCTGTTCTCATGATAGTGAATGAGTTCTCATGAGATCGGGTTGTTTAAAAGTGTATAGCACTTCCCCCTGCATTCCCTTCTTTCTGCTCCAGCCATGTCAGATGTGCCTCCTTCCCCTTCACCGTCTGCCATGATTGTAAGTTTCCTGAGGCCTCCCCAGCCATGCTTCCTGTACAGCCTGCAGAACTATAAGCCAATTAAACCTCTTTTCTTTATAAATTATTCAGTGTCAGGTAGTTCTTATATAAATGCAAGAATGGACTAATACAAATGCATTGCAGGAGCCTTGCACAAGCTCCTTGGGCCTGGGGCTCAGCCGTCATCTACCTCTGTCTTCTGTTCATTCTCTTCCAGTCAGTCACCCCCTATCCAAGCCTAAAGTTGACTCCCTGGGTTCCACCGAGGAACTTGCTACCCAGGCTGCCCACGCTTGCTCCTTCCATCCTTGCTCCTGTCCTTGGCACAACAACTGCAGCAAAGACTGGTTCTCACTCACCGGGCGAGGGCGGGTCTCTCGGAGGAAGGACTTGAGGTCTCCCCCTGCCATAAGCTCCAGTAGGATGAACCGGGGCAGGGCTTGCAGGCTCACCCCGATGCAGCGAACGATGTTCTGGTGGTTGAATTTGCTGCAGAGCAGAGTGGGGTATAACCAAAATTAGCTGAGTCTGGGCAAATGTTACATTGGGGGGAACAGGATACAAAGTTACGTTTTCAGCAGCTACAATGTATAAATGCATTCTGTAAATAGGGGCAGCAGGGGTCCCGGGCTGAGCCTAAACCCAGAATCTCGCTGGTGAGGGAAGACCCAGAGCAGGCTCCACAGGAGTTCCGTTTGCAGGAGAGGGGCTGGAGGTGCGAGGATGTTGCTCAGGCACTTGGGTGAGAAAGTGTCTCAGGGGCAGGACGGTGTCTTTCTCAGATACTGGTGCACGGACTGGGCACTAGAATTCATAGTCTATTTCTCCCAGGAAGGTCTCAGGCAGAAGGTGAAGCAAAACAACTGCTTCTAAGAGAGACTGGGTGAGACTTGCCAGGTGACGGCGTGTGAAACAGAGCCAGGAAAAGGGGATGGCCTCATGAGTCCATCAGTTTCCTGTGGATTCCTCATGGGAGGGACCAAGACTTGGGTTTTCTTGTTAACATGATCCCTTTAGAACACACAGGCAGTGGGGCCTAGGAATTCCACATGGGCCAACATGTGCATGCATGTGTGTGCATACACATACGTGTACACGCCCCCCCCCCCAAGTGTTGAAAGACTGGGTGATTAGACACCAACATATAATGGTTAGTTATCACCAAGTAGTGAGATTGAGCGATTTAGGTCTTCTTCAATATAATCTCATACTTGCCAAGTTTTATTCATAATCAGGAATTACATGTATCATCAGAAAATAAATGTTATTTTGTGTGTCCTCCTGTGACTCCAGACCTCACAGCCATATCGCTCACATTGCCTGGCCTTGTTACCCCTGCCACTTCCACCAAGGGGACATCCCAATCTGCCCCCACCTGTCAGGACGTTCAGAGACTTCCTGGTATGATGGGGGCCATGAGCCCCCACCTGATCTTGAGGTCAAACATCTGCCTCCTCCTTGAGGGGATCTGCTGCCACTGTGGACACCCTCAGGAGCCACAGGCACTGAGACTCTCAGCTTAAATACAGACCCTGGAACCTCAAGTCAAAAGGTGCAGCCAGCTGAGACTCATCCCTGCTGATGGGAGCCTAGGATGGGGTGGCCTTCCATCATATTAGGAGCACATTTACTGGGATTGGTGAAGGGTCTGGGAGGGAGATTGTATCTTGTACTGTCAAAGTCTAGCATGTTCCATTTCTTAAGAAAAAGTGAGGGGAGAAGAACCAATGGAGAACAGCAGGGAACTGGTTGCAGACCGTGACATTGGTGGGATTATTAGGCCACACAGATTTTGTTTCTGAAACAACCACCAGGGGTTGTTCCAGTCTGGTAAGAAGTGTCTAGAATGTTTGGGAGTCTCCTACTGGAGAAAAGGGGACATGCTGGGGACAACACCATTTCCCTTGGAGACATCGATGTGTTAGAAACCTCTCCAGGTTCTTTGGGGCAGTGGGGAGTTGGGGTGAGGGTGTCTCTCTGTGGCCTTACCTGATGATCAGGGCTTCCATGAGGAAATCTAGTTCGTCCTGTTCTGAGCACACCTCAGGCAGCGTCTGGGCAGAGAAGGGGAAGGTGGGGAGGAGGAGGAGGCTGTGAGCTGACAGCCGCAGCCTACAGAGTCTGCAAGCCAAGGGCAGGCTCAAGAGTGAGCCACTTCTTACCTTCACAGCCACTTGCAGGGGGCTTGGGTCATTGGGCACTCCGGACACCTGGCCTTCATACACCTCCCCAAAGGCGCCATGGCCCAGACCCCTGTGCAAAGGAGAAGACAAGATGAGACAGAGTCAAACAGGCCACAGTAATGAGGCAGCTGGGGCTCCTGAGCCCGGGGCTCACATTTAGTGGACAAACACAAGAGGCAGGGGATAACGTACACACTCAGGAGTAACACCCTCAACACGGCTGTGCTATGCAATAAGAAGGATTCCAACCAGGGACTCATGACAATGGTCAAATGTTTATTCATTCAATCAGTAGTTATTGAGTCTGATATTTGCCAGGGACACAGGGGTGTATGAACCATGGCTTTTCCCTGGGGAGGCTCATGCTCCTTTAGGACAGACATATCGCCGGGGGGTACTGGCTGGGAAGTGTTGCCAGTGAGTGACAGACAAAGGTACAGTTGCTCTAGATGCTCAGAGGAGGGGCCCTTTGCTCCCCTGCTCCCCTGGAGGGAAGCAGGGCCAGGAAGCCTTGGAGAGAGCATACCTCAATGAATTTTGAGGAAAGCCCTGGTTCTCCTCTCATTGTATAAACTCCATAAACATATAGGAGTTAGTGTAAACCAACACACATGGCCCTGAATGTCAAGGCCTGTCCTCCTGGGAGGGCTGGGGGTGCCCACAGGGAGGGCTCTGCTGACCTTTTGTGGCTAGAGGAGTCTGTGATGCTGTGATAACATTCAGCCCCTAGACTGCAGCCCCTCTCCTCCCAGGACGGCAGCAGGGCGCTCACCGAATGAGGGTGATGTTTTTCCGCGGCACCTCCTTCAGGTCACTGATGGAGGAGGTCTTGCCAGCAAAGCAGTAGTTGGGGTTGTAGTCGGTCATGATGGTTGAGGTGCGGAGCTTACTCAGCTTGTACTCAGGGCTCTGCAGCTCCATCTGCATGGCTTGCAGCTCCTGGTGCTTCCGGCGGTACACTGCAGGTGGATGTCAGCTGCAACATGGCCTGGACCAGGCAGCCTGGCCCTTGAAGCACTACACAGGCCACTTCCTACAGGAAGCCTCCCTGGATCTCCGTATCCTCCCCTGAGCTCTGAACCTTTCCATCATACTTAGAAATACTAACAAAATGATTCTAGATGTGAAGGTGTGTCTTTAATTGAAACATGATTTAAAGTAAATGTAAAGCTAAAAATCACAAACACAGAAAAGAATTATTTGTATTATACAGGGCAGAGTCATGTTAGTCTGGGTCCTCCAAGAAGCAGACTGGAGATGGGATTAGACCCAAGATGGTCTGCAGATTTTATTAGAAGAAATGCCCATGAGAGGAAATGGGGAGGGAGCCAGGGAAGGCTGGGTGAACCAGCAGACCGTGTTGCAAGTCTGACCCCATGTGAACGAGGGAGGGAGGGAAGGTTGGGTGGAAGCACCCTGGGTGCCATGCAGCCTAAGGAATTTTCAGCAAGGCCCTAAGGGGTTCTGGAGCCAAAGTCAGTCATCAGAGGAGTCCCATGGCTCCCAGGAATTGGCCTGCCTTAGTATTTCTGCTGTGCCAGCCACGGGGTAGGGCAGCTTCACTGCAATCACAGCAGTGGATTTGAGGGTGCAGCTGGGATCTTGGTCAATTGTGTTTCCTATAGTTGGAGAACTGCCAAGCCGCAGAGTTGGAGAAGAGCCACATAATGAAAAGATCTCTAAACTGGTGTCTGGGGATCTGTGCTCTAATTCCGCCTCTTGTTACTTACAAGCTGAGCCATGAGGACCAGGTCACAGGACCTCTTTGGACAGTAGTTTCCCTCTCTGTAAGCAGGGATGGTAACTCCTGCCCTGTTTCCCTAACCACTCCCACTCCCCACCCCCAGGGTTGTCAATGAAATGAATTCACCAACGTAAAATGGTTTTGAAAAGTTCTAAAGAGCTCTACCAATGTGAATGACCATTATCACTCCTACGTGTGAGGATGTTCTGGAAGGCAAACTCCATGGGAGCCAGAACAAAATTGTGATTCAGAGGGTAGATTCTGTGTGTAAAGCCCAGCACCCCCAACACACAGGCCAGGGCAAACGAGTCACCCACTATGTGCTCAGTTCCCTCCTCTATGCTATGGACCAACCACGATCAGATTAGGGTTACTTGAGGATCGAATGAACTGAAATGTGTAAATTGCTGAGCATGTAGTAACAATGCAACAAGTGTTAACTCCTATTATCCTGTCCCTTTGAGGGATGGCACCATATGGGGACACAGCATGTGCTGCCATCTCCCTTCTACCGGAAGATCCCTTCACCGGCAGGGGCCTGGCCTGTGAGGGCTCCCAGGAGCCTTTCCCTCTGCCTTATCCAAGCCTCTGCCCATCTGTACTGGGCATGTCTCTGCCAGCAGTAAGGGCTGGTTGGGACCACACTGAGCTCTCTGTGACCTGCAGGTCAGCTCACCTTGGCTCACAGGCTGAACAGAAATATACTCAGAAACCGATTTTCCCATCTCTCTGCCTGGAGGGTGGTGGAGGGCTGGTTTGGAGAAGAGTGAGCTAGTGCATTATACAGGGTGGGAGCCAAACAGGAGCTGTGCCTGCGGAAGCACATGGGAGCTAGAAGTGACCTCTAGGGGTGGGGACGAGCTTTCCCCATCGTGAGGGACACTGAAGAGCGCTCCCCACCCCCTGATCAGCCAGAGGATACACACGGGGCTGAGGTGCAGAATCAGGGGCTCCTCAGGGAACTGCAGCTGCTCTGGTCGGGGGAAGGTTGGGAGCTTCGGTTTTGGCTTGGCCTGGGCTTCCCTAATCACCACCCCACCGAGTTCCAGGGACTAGCATAATGAAATGACACCCTGGCACCCGTGGCACAGCCTGAGACACTATTCCGTCCTGCCTTCCCGCCCCCTTGGGAGTCCCTGGGGCTCTGTGCACTCACCAATCATGATGCCGGAGAAAGCCAGGACCAGGGCAGCCACGAGGGCAGAGGTCACCACGGAGAGGATCAGTGAGAGTGGCAGGTGTGGCTCCGGGGTGGGCGACACTGGAAGACAGGTCCCAGTGGGGCACTGACAACCACACCCGTTCTCCTTTGAGCTGGTCCCAAGTCAAAAATAACCTCTCCAGCTGTGACAAAAACTACCTGCTCCCTCCCATCTTTGGAGACCTTGTCACACTTCTCTTTTCAGAGAATCACGAGCAGGACCAGACTCATCCTGTTTTTACAAGCTTTCAGCTGTAGCTTTTGAGTGGAGGGAAATTTAACAGGGATGAGTATCAATGGCGGGACGTTGGTTAAAACATGAGCTGCACAACTACAGGGTGAGGATGGAAGGTGAAACGAAAGTAGATCTGGAAGAGATGTGGGGACCGCAGGTGACCAAACAACAGGGTGCGCTCTAAGTAACCCCCTCTGAGGCTAAATTACTTCCCTGTGGCCCTGAGGCACTGGGCTTAGAGTGGGGAGGGGGCCTGTGCCCTCTGCTGGCCAGACCACACGGAGGCATCGTGCTTGGTACTGGACACTACATTTCAAAAGGGACATCGACAATGGAACACATGCAGAAGAGGGACACCGGTGCAGTGGGGGGAGGAGACACAAAACTGCATCTTGTATGAACTGCTGCAAACAAACAGGTTATTTAATCTGAAGAAGAGTTAAAGGAGGAGGATTGGGACAGGTGCGGTGGCTCGTGCCTGTAATCCCAGCACTTTGGGAGGCCAAGGCGGGTGGATCATCACCTGAGGTCAGGAGTTCGAGACCAGCCTGGCCAACATGGTGAATCCGTGTCTCTACTGAAAATATGAAAATTAGCCTGGCATAGTCGCAGGCGCCTTTAGTCCCAGCTACTCGGGAGGCTGAGGCAGGAGAATCGCTTGAACCTGGGAGGTGGAGGTTGCAGTGAGCCAAGACCACATCATTGCACTCCAGTCCAGGCAACAGGAGTGAAACTCTGCCAAAAAAAAGAAAAGGAGGAGGATGGGAGCACTGTCTTCATACACTGCACATGAAAAGCTGCTGTTGTAAGGAAACCTAGGAGAGGAAGGTTAAGGGGACAGGGCTCCGGCTCTGAAACTGCCCAAGGGAACAGAGCACCTTAGGAGCAGTGAGATCCCTGTCACCGGGCATGTTTAAGTGGGGGCAGAATGGCCCCTCAGTGGGGACGGTATTCTATACCAGAGGACTTTTAAGACTCCTTCAGGAGCCATGGCCCACCTTTTACACAGGGGTCAGAGCGCTTGAGCTGTCGCAGGTAGGGGAGGTAAGACAGCTTACAAAACCGAATCCAGGGTGTCCTGGAACCCAGAAACCACTTGTGGTCATGCGCCAAATCTCAGGCTGTCTGCCCCTCTGCCTCCCCCGGCCCCGCCCCCTTACCAATGCAGGAGACGCCATCCTCTGCCAGCACTGTCCCGTGGTCACAGAAGCAGATGACCTTGTGGCTTTCAGTGTCCATGTGACATTCGTCTACCTCACAGTGACTGCAGTTTAGATAATGCTTAATATTCACTTCCCCATGGCCTTCCATCACTGGTGACAAGGAGGCAGGGTCAGTCACCGGCCGAGCCTGCTTCCCCACTCCCAGCCTCAGTACTGTGTCTCCAGGTGGTCACTGTGGGTGCTCTGGTCCCTGTTCCTAGGTCCCACAGCCACTGGAAGCACAACTGTGTAGGGGAGTCTTCCTGTGCATATGGAGAGTGCAGTGGAGGCAGCTGGCATGGGTGCCTATGGATGTTTGCATTTGTGCCGGTGGTGGGAGGAAGCCCACACAGGTGATCTTTAGGTTGGCTGGTGCAGGTATTGGGCTGTTGTTGTTACCTTTCCTAGGATTCTGCCTCTGCATTCATATTAAAGCACACATCCTGACTTCCAGAAAATGTGGTGACCTGCGCTATGGGAAGCTTGCCTGCCAGGGACCCATAATTGTGCCTCTGTATCCTGGATACGCGCCAGAGGCTCTGAGGTTTTAGCTGGGTGGGAGGACTGACCTAAGGAAGTTTGTTCTGCTGCCTGGAAGAGGGGCTACCTTTTAAAGCTGGGGTGTACAGGATGCCCAGTGGACTGATGAAGGAAACCCCATCTTCCCCATCCATTTCGGGGTCATTGTTTGAGGCTGCATTGCCGCCTGAGTAGCAAACCAGAGCAGAGTTTAACATGGGGGGTGGGTGCCAAAATCAACACACATGCACGTCAGCGGGGCATGCAGCTCTGGCCAAAGTTAGGGGGTCACTGGGGCTTCAGGGATAGGGATGCGGGGAGGGAAGGGAGGCTCAGGGCACAGAGGCTGCACATGGGATTTGGCCCAGTAGATGCGGGGTGTGTGGCCACTTTCCCCTCAGGTCCGGGCCAGCTCCGATGGAGGAGGGGCCTCTACCACTCTGCTGGGGGCCCACTAAGAAGTGGTTAATGTGAGCAAGAGTCCGAAAAGTTCTAGTCCTTCTAGGCTGGGATACGCCCGTGGTGCCTCTCCCAGGACTGGTCAGGATGAGGAGTTGCTCTCCAACCCCACTGGGTCAGGGTTGGGGTGTGGCGGGGTGTGGGGATTGCGGGAGATGAGCCCCTGTACCCTAAGGCTCCTGTCCCTCCTTTCACCTGGGGCTGGGCTATCTTTGGGCTCCCCCCTCGGGCTCCTCCCACCCACCCAGCTTGGAAAAGAAGAGCATGTGGTTAACACAAGCATCTTACAGACAGCATCAAAGCAAAACACAGACATGAACACCACAGAGCATGCATGCATTCGTCCTAATCTGTGGGGAGCGGGGAGCCATCGTCTCCCAGCCTCTCAGCTTCAGAAGGCTCTGCTGACTGTGCTCTGAAGCCCAGATGAAGCAGCTGGGGTCAATGGCCGGCTGCTTGCTGAAGGGCTGGGCTAAGCCTGCCTGCAGTTGCCCTTGGGAGTAGCTCCCGTCAGCAGGAACAGCAGCGCCTTTCAGGAAGCTGGTGGGCTGGGGTAGGGAGCAGGAGTGAGGAGTCCATGAAACCACAAACCAGCCCCTTCAGGAGCTGGCTTGGCCAGGTCATCCAGGGGAGGCTGGGGGAGTCCTTACGGGTGACTCAGAGACTAGTCTGGAAAACCAAAGCCTCTTTATCATCGACTTTGGGGGAGATCAAGAATCACATGGGATCTTGATGTTGTCGCTGAGGAAGCCTGGAGGCAGGATGCTGGCTCGAGAGCCAACACCCTGCCTCCGGCAGGTCCAGCCAGGCGGAGAGGGAGGCGTGCAGTCACATCACAGTCCACACTTGGGCAGGCCAGGGGAGGGCCGGGAGAGGGCAGGGAGGTGAGGAGCCTAGGACTAAGCGGGGGGGAGTGACACCTTGAACACGAATCATCTTTACCTATATATCCTCCGCCTCCTCCACCTGAGGAGCACCCCCCTCCACCCCCTCCGAAACCCCCTCTTGTCTCCCACCCCCACTTCTTCATGGCCTGGGGGCAGGAATGTCCTCCGGTGGCACCCTCCAGCAAAGATTTTCCGGCCCAGAGCAAGGAAGTGTTATCATTCCAGCCACCTCCACCACCTGCGGGAAGAGATAGGGAACCCGCGTGAGGATGCTGGCCAGAAGGATGCAGGACGCCTTGGAGGGCGCCCGCACCAGCTCCAGCTCCCGGGGCCCATCTTCAGTAGGAAAACCACAGTAGGAAAACCAGGAGGCTGCTTGCCCTAGGGAGACCTGTTTGGCCACAGCTGAGTACACCCAGATGAGAGCGTGCCTTGTACCCCTGCTTCCTGCCAGTCCTCTCTGGCTCAAACGGAGGGGCTGTGCTTGGTTAAGGATCGGGGGAGGTGGGCAGACAGGCAGCATGGTGACTAAACTCGTTCCTCTATCTTCTCGTCATGTCAGCCAAGCCCCATAGCACTGGACCTTCATTTCATTAACTGCCTCCCATCCTAACAAGAAATGGGACTCATCAGTCTTTGAGCAGCCAAATGTCAAAACCCTGCACTCTAAAGTTCCTTGCAGGAATCCTGGACTAGGCACCACAGAGCCCACTGCTGTCTGTGAAAGCATGGGCAAGAATGCCCATTCTGAGCCTGTGTTTCTTCACTTGTAGCTTGGGGATAATAAGACCCAGCTCATGGGGTTGATGTAAGATCAAAGGAGACAGTGAGTGTATGAAATGCTCCACAAACTGCCAGGGGTGAGGAGTGTCAGGGGCTTGAGAGGCAGAACACATGCGTGCAGACAGCCTCACACCTCGGCTCAGCCTGCTTAGAGGTTCTCCAGGGCCAGGCTCTCAGGAACCGCTCCAAGGTCAGGAGCAGAAGCCCTGGTCGGTGGTGGACGATGCCCTGGCAACAAAGGCAGCCTCGGGGCTGTGCTTCCCAATGACTGGGGCTGCTTTGGGCTCTTGCAAAGGAAGCTATCTACAGAGCCGAGGTTGAGTGCAGCCACAGGTTGACCACAAGAAATCTCTTCTGCTAACCTTTGAGATTCCAGGACATCCCCTATCCCTACTGTTCCATAGGACATTTGAACAGACATCTACAGTTGTCCCTCAGTATCTGTGGAGGATTGGTTCCAGGATCCCTCCATCACACCAAAATAAATGTCCCTTTATATAAAGTGGCATAGTATTTGCACATTCTCCCATAAAAAAAATCATCTCTAGATTACATATAATACCCAATACAGGGTAAATCCTATGTAATAGCTATTGTATTGTTCAGGGAATAAGTCTGTACATGTTCAGTAAAGACACAATCATCTTTTTTTTTTTTTTTTGGAATATTTTTGATCTGTGGTTGGTTGAATCCAACGAACACAGAATTGATGGATAGGAAAGGGCGACTGTATCCTAAAAACCCTAAAACCCTTTCTGCTGCAGCGATGATGTGTGGCGGGGACCTGGACATTGACGGGGGAAGGTGGAAACAGCAGTGTGTGTGTCTGCCGGAGCCCTGCGGGTGAACCGGCCTGGCAGGGTTTCTGGAAGCACTTGTGGTTGAGATTCCTTGGGACCCAGAGGGACCTGTAGGTGGGATAACTGTCTTGCTAGAAAGAGGAAGCCAGATTTTGAAAATGAAGCTGAGGTCAGGAACAAGCTTGAATCTAGAATGGGGACAAGCAGAGCTGAGGCGAGGCCATCAGGCAAGCTGGGGGGACTTTGTCAGCCACGAAGCCTGCAGGGGTGGGTGCTGAGCTTGGGTTTCGCTGTCCTCCCTTCTGCTCTCAGAGGAGGGTGTGGGCCTGTCAAGGCAGTTGTCACGTGGCAGAGGGAAGGCCCCTTAGGTGCGATAGGGGCCAGAAGTTGGCTCTGGTGTTTGTGCAGGGCTGTGAGCAAGTGCATAATAAATAAATCAGAACGAGATGGTGGAGACCATGTGCTGTGCTTTCATCCTGCTCAGCCCCCAGCTGAGTAGGTTTCTGACCCCACACCCATCTTGCAGCCTTCGAGCAAATGTGTGGAAAGGAAAATAACCCATATCAAAATCAGAACAACGGTGTTTTAAAAATACGAACTGAGTCTGGCCAGACGCAGTGGCTCACGTGTGTAATCCCAGCACTTTGGGAGGCCGAGGCAGGCAGATCACTTGAGGTCAAGAGATCGAGACCAGCCTGGTCAACATGATGAAACCCCATCTCTACTAAAAATACAAAAATTAGCTGGGTGTGGTGGTGCGTGCCTGTAATCCCAGCTGCTCTGGAGGCTGAGGCAGAAGAATCGCTTGAACCCACGAGTCAGAGGTGGCAGTGAGTCGAGACCGTGCCACTGCGCTCCAGCCTGGCGACAGAACAAGACTCCGTCGCAAAAACAAACAAACAAACGAATGAACAAAATTGTCTCCATCACTAAACAGCTCGACCATGTTGAGAAAAAAAAGAGTCATCAGGCCTTGGTGAGCCCATTGGCTCTCCTGTAAAACAGGAATGGTATCTGCCTGGAAGCCTGCAGGGTTGTTTTGACAGCACATGTGCAACAGACGCGGGGGTGCTTCAGGGTTTCTCAGGTGCTGGGCCTCGGTAGGGGTGCTGTGAACGTCACTGGAGAACCTCATGGTGGACCCATGACTGTTTCTACTCTTCTATCTCTAGCTGTTCTCAATTGAGAGACAGTTTGCACATTTGTTTTAATTAATCCCAAATCTTAAACGCCTTCTAAGATCCTCCCACAGTCTGATTGTGTGGAAAAGAAAACACAAAAAGGAATTGCATTTTCTGTCTTTGGGGTGGCTGACTTTAGAGGAATCAGGGAATTGATACTCTCTTCCCTGCCTGTCTCGCATTTTTGTGCTTCTGGCTCCCACTAATGAAGGAAGAGAGCTCAGCTGTGGAGAGTCAACAAGGAGATTTTCCAGTGGCGTATGCTTGGGTCTGGCAGCCCTGGGCCTGGAGGTCTGTACCATAGGGGTCTAGGGGGCCTGACATTGCCCAGAATTTTTTCATCTGCTCACATCTTAACTGGGGGGCCCATCTGCCCCTGGAGGAAGAAGGAATCTCCGGGGGAGGCTCTAACACTTGCATGTTGGTAAAACCCAGGGAGGGTCAGCTGGCTGATTGACGGCTGCTCCCTGCCTCACTTTCTCAGTAACCTTCTATAAGTCCAAGCTCCAGGTCAGCAGGACGGCCTGCAGGGCTCCCAGGATGCTGCCTGCCCTCCCTCCCTGGATATTGGGACCAATATCCAGAGCTCCCAGCATCCCAGGTGCCAGTGACTGAGATGCCCTCAGGCATGCGATGGCATCAGGGCCCAGCTGAAAGCCTGGGAAAGGTTCCGGGAGAGGGCATGCTTGCGGCGCTTTACCTGCGGCTCCGGAATTGCCGTTCAGCCCTAGAACCGAGGAGTTATTCTCCAGTCTCTCTGGGTGGAACGTGTCTGTCTTGGCCCCATAGGCCCTGCCGCCACCTCCGGCTGCAATGATCAGGGGCACCGGCACTCCATCCTTCATCTGACCGGGGAGACGTTGAGACATTGAGAAACCCAGCTGTGCTTCCCCGTGGAGCCCCCAAGCCCTGGTTAACTCAGCCTGACTGAGGGTTTGCTGGGCAGTGGGGTGACCTGGTGACCTCTCAGTGGTCTGAGGTGGTTTGCGGGCTCTGATCCCTTGTTACAATAGCCCATCGACTCCACAAGCTTCTCTATCAGTCAGGGTTCAACCAGAGAAGCAAAACCTATACACCAAAAGCAAAATATATATACCAGGAGGTGCGGGTTGATCTTAGAGGCTGCTTCCTCTGCTTCCTCCAGCTCCTTTCCTGAAGCTCCTCAGACTGGCCTCAGAGGTCTGGATGCTGGTGATTAGAAGCAGGTCTCTCTGTACTCTCTCTCCCTCATTCTTAGGGGTCTCTGACTCTGGCCCCCAAAGATTCAAGATTAAGCCCTCAGCATCACAGTCCTGTGGGAGGACCTAGCAGGTGGCCTCGGTCTTCAGTTTCTGGCCTGGCTGTGATGATGTCAGAAAAATCTACCTTAGGACAGAGAGCTGGTCCAGGAGGGCACAGTAGGACCCTCTGAAACTAGGATGGCAAAGGCTGTGCATGGTGAAATTGGGCTGCTGTATCAGTAAGAGAAGAGTCTACCCTTTCCTGGACAGACAGACTATATCGCTCTGGATCTCAGTCTGCTCATCTTCATTTTTTAATTCTTTTATTGGTTTTAGAGACAGGGTCTTGCTCTGTTGCTCAGGCTGGAGTGCAATGGCATGATCACAGCTCATTGTAGCCTTGAACTCCTGGGCTCAAGCGATCCTCCTGCCTCAGCCTCCCAAGTAGCTGTGACTACAGGTGCAAGCCACCACAAGTGGCTAATTTTTAAATTTTTTTTGGTAGAGACAAGGTTTTGCTATGTTGCCCAAGCTGATCACGAATTCCTGACCTCAAGCGATCCTCCTGCCTCAGCCTCCCAAAATGCTAGGGCTACAGGAATGAGCTACTGCACCTGGCCCTGCTCATCTTTAAATGGGGATAAGAGCATCTGAGGTGTTTCTGTCCCAGGGCTGTCATGAGGCTCCAACATCGCAGATTCACAGAAACCTGGTGGAAATCTGGCGGTGTAGACCTTACCTTAAATACGTAGGTGGCTCCACCCCCTCCTCCTCCTCCTCCTGCCCACTCATGCACGCTTCTGTTCACACGGATTTCTTCTTCTATCACATTGTTCTCTCCAATGCAGACTTTCTGGATTAACTGGTTTGTCTGTAGAAACAAAAAGCACGTTAGGTTTGTGGCCAAACCGGAGTTCTCCACTTTGCAGCAGACAGAACTTCTAGGCTTAAAAACAGGATCTGACTCTTTTTTTTTTTTTTTTTGAGATGGAGTCTCACTCTGGCACCCAGACTGGAGTGCAGTGGTGTGACCTCAGCTCGCTGCAACCTCTGCCTGCTGGGTTCAAGCAATTCTCCTGCCTCTGCCTCCCGAGTAGCTGGGACTATAGGCGCACGCCACTATGCCCAGCTAATTTTTTGTATTTTTAGTGGAGACGGGGTTTCACCATGCTGGCCAGGCTCATCTCGAACTCCTGACCTCATGATCCGCCCACCTCAGCCTCCCAAAGTGCTGGGATTACAGGCGCGAGCCACCGCGCCCGGCTAGGATCTGACTCTCTCTCAAAAAAATTTACAGTTGAGTTTAGGAGGCAGAAAAATACACTAATAACTGTCCCTACGGGCAGTGTTAGGGAAGGACTACAAGGATGGCTTAGACAGAAAATGCTAGGAGAAACTGGGAGCGAGAGAGCAAGGTTTTACTGCTGTGAGGACTGCCTGTAGGAGGCGACTTTTAGTTGAGCCTTGAAGGATAGGGAGGTTTTTTGTTTTGTTTTGTTTGTTTGTTTGTTTGTTTTTCACAGAGAGTAGGGCAAAGTTATGTCATTGCAAGAACAAAGAGTGGCATGAGCCCAGAGGGAAGTGGGTAAGTGGGGTGTGTGGGGGAAAAGCACAAGGGTCTCTTTGGTCCAGAAGTCTATCAGGACAGAGAGATTGTCCAGGATGACCTGTTTCCATCCTGTGGGATGAAGAGATCCGAGAAAGAATGGGAAAGTCGTATGTGGTGAGATGGGGCTGGAGGGAGTGTAAATTAGGTGGATAGAGAGAATTGAACTGAACAGTCTGATCGTAGCTAGAGGCCTTGAAGGCACTGCAAGGAGTGGACTTCATTCTCCTTTTTTTTAAAAAAATTTTTATTTATTTATTTATTTATTTATTTTGAGACGGAGTCTCGCTCTGTGGCCCAGGCTGGAGTGCAGTGGCCGATCTCAGCTCACTGCAAGCTCCGCCTCCCAGGTTCACGCCGTTCTCCTGCCTCAGCCTCCCGAGTAGCTGGGACTACAGGCACCCGCCACCTCGCCCGGCTAGTTTTTTGTATTTTTTAGTAGAGACGGGGTTTCATGGTTTCACCGTGTTAGCCAGGATGGTCTCGATCTCCTGACCTCGTGATCCACCCGTTTCGGCCTCCCAAAGTGCTGGGATTACAGGCTTGAGCCACCGCGCCCAGCCCGTGGACTTCATTCTCTATGACAGCCATTCTCTCACTGAAAGCCATCGAGGTTTTCTGAGGAGTCACAGCTCTGAAGCATCAGGAGGAGAGAAAAAAACCACAAAGGCCAGACTCAAGTTTTATTCCCAGTTCTTCTCTGGGAAAATCAGTTCTCCCTTTTGGACATCTCATTCCTCCTAGCTACTGTTCCATTTCTTCCCTCTGGAATCCCTGGCACAGCCCTCTGCTTGCCTTGTAGAGTGAGCCCTGCAATCAGGTAGTCTGGATTCTCCACCCACCCCGGGAAACCGTGACAGGGGCCCTTGATCTCTCATGCTCCAGTGTGGCTGGGAATAAAGACAACACAGGTCATTGTGGCATTTACTGAGGGTAGTACAAGTAAGGCGTCTAGTGGAGCGCCTCATGTACAGTGGGAACTGAGTAAATGGCTGCTATTCTTATCTGTTTTTTGAGACAGAGTCTTACTCCATGCAATGGCATGATCTCGGCCCACTGCAACTTCTGCCTCCCGGGTTCAAACAATTCTGGTGTCTCAGCCTCCTGAGCAGCTGTGACTACAGGTGCGCACCACCATGCCCCGCTAATTTTTGTATTTTTAGTAGAGGAGGGGTTTTGCCATGTTGGCCAGGCTGGTCTTGAACGCCTGACCTCAGGTGATACGCCTGCCTTGGCCTCCCAAAGTGCTGGGATTACAGGTGTGAGCCACTGTGCCCGGCCAGCTGCTGTTCTAATTTAGATTCACTTCTGGGCCCACATATGCTCCTGGTTGGGGCTAAGGTGTTAGAGAGCCCTCAAGATTGTGCTGGAGATTTCTGTAACAGAATCCTGGAATCCCTGAAGAGGGAGGATGGTGCTTCAAAAACAGCCACGCCTGCTTGTCGGCCACCACAGCTCAGACAAATTCTTCAAACATCAGCCTGACCTCGGAGGAAAGTAACTTTTCTTTCACTTAACAGAAAAAAAGCCAGTAAAACATCACATTTCCATCGATGCTGCTTCATAACCAGCCAGTGGATGTGGCCATTCTTCTTGAGCCACTTCTTAGGCTAAAGCACTCAGGGGTGCCGGCAATGAGTACTACAGAAATTTCCAGATAAATAGCCGAGAAGCAATTTGTTCCATGGCATTTTGGATTTAATGATGGAAATAATTTGATATTTCTTAGAGTGGATTTTGTGTGGGTGGAAGGCTCTGAATTACTGTTGTAGAGATCTGGCATTTCCCGTACGTATGTGCAGCTATGTCCCGGCCTGGGGGGAGACTCCTGGGAGGAGCCTGCTCACTGCCACCTGGCACAGGCATGAGTTGCAAGGAATGTGCCCTGAGGGTTGGCCTTGGGGATGAGCTGTCAGCTGGGCAGAGTGCAGGATTCGGGGTCCAGTCTGGGTTCTTTTTTTTTTTTTTTTGGAGACAGGGTCTCACTCTGTCACCCAGGCTGGAGTGCAGCGACGGGATCATAGCTCACTGTAGCCACGAACTCCTGGGCTCAAGTAATCATCCTGCCTTAGTCTCTAGAGTAGCTGGGACTACAGGCACAAGCTACCAGGCTTGACTAATTTTTCTTTTTTCTTTTTTTTAGAGACAGGGTCTTGCTATGTTGCCCAGACTGGTCTCTGACTCCTGGCTTCAAGTAGTTCTCTTGCCTCAGCCTCCTGAGTAGCTGGGAGTACAGGTACGAACTACCATGCTCGACTAATTTATTTATTTATTTTTTTGAGACGGGGTATTGCTATGTTGTCCAGGCTAGTTTCTACCTAAGTGATTCTCCTGACTCAGCATTCTCAAAGTGTGGGATTATAGGCATGAGCCATCACACCCTGCTCAGTCTGGGTTCTTGACGGCTCTGCCAGAGATTTGCTGGGCTATACTAGGTGAGGCACCCCGCCTCCCTGGACTTGTCTCCTCATCTGGAGATGGAGGGGCTGCCCAGTCTGAACCAGCGGTGCTAAGAAGGTCCACCCCCTCAGCCTCTGCTCCATCTCCTCTCTTGGCTGGTGGGCAGCAGTGGGACCTAGGGGATGCCCTCCCCTCGTGAACAGATCTGGAGATTGCTGGGATAGGGAGGAGAGAGCAGTGGGGCTTGAGGATGGGCTTTCCTGTAGTTAGAGCCTGGACCCATGCTCATCACCCCGCCCCTGCTTCTGGTGTCTCCTTTAGATCAGGTGGGGATGGGGAGCGGTCAAGGCTCTTGCTGGACCAGTAGCAGCGTTCGGAGGAGCTGCTGCCCTTTCCTCACTTGACTTCCAGGACTCCCCATCCTCTTGTATCCTCTCCTACCTCCCTGGTTCCTCTTTTTCGTCCCCCTTTGCTGGTTCCTCTTCTTTTCCTGACCTCTAAATGTTGAGGGTCCCTTAAGTTCAGTCCTTGCTTTCTTCTCTATCTGTACTGCATCCTAGGCAATCTCATCCTGTCTCAACTTTATGCTAATTTCTCCCATATTTATATCTATTTATATCCCCAGCCTGGACCTCTCTCCTGAACTCCAGTGGCCTGGTTCCCATCATCCACCTGTCTGCCTGTGGCTGTCTACCAGGCCTCTACAACTCAGCATGTCTGATATTGAACTCCTGATCTTACCCCCAAATTTGCTCCTTCCACAGTGTTCCCTAAGTCACGTGATGGCAGCTCCCTTCTTCCAGTGGCTCAGGCACAACTTTTGGAGTCATCCTTGACTCTTTTCTTTCTCTTAATTTCTCATTCAATCTGGCAGAAAATCCTTTTGGATTTGACTTTGAAATTACGCCCAGGATTCAACCACTTTTCATCCCCTCCACTGTTACAATCCTAGTCTACGCCATCATCATCTCTTGCCAGGATTAATGCCATAGCCTTCGAATTCACTGTCTTGACCCTTCCCCTGTGTCCATAGATTCTTCAATGGTAGATTCTTCACATTGCAGCCAGAGTGAGCTTTTTAATAAACATACCACATTATGTCACCATTTGCCTCAAAACCCTCCTATGGCTCCAACATGTCTTAAAGTGGCCTGATCCAGTCCTATTACCTCTGCCTCATCTCTTACCTACCCTTCCTTTTGCTCCCTCTCCTCTAGCCTGAGTGTTCCTTGAGCATTGACGAACCTCTGGGACGTGGCCTTTGCTGGGGTCACTGTTTCCCCAGATATTCCCCCTTCCCTCTCCTCAAATGTAAGTTCCTTGAAAGCTAAGATTTTTCTTTTGTTCACCGATATATCCCAAGTTCCTGTAACAGGGATGGCACAAAGTAGGTGCTCAATAAATATTGGTTAAATACATTTGAATGAATTGGGTGCTGTCTGGATTGTGGGCTGGCTCTTCACAATATCTGTCTTGCAGGGGATGGTAATGGTGGGATTTAACATTTGGAACAGACTCGGCGGCCTAGGGGACATTTGGAAATGTCTGGAGGCTTTTGTGATTGTGATTTCTGGGGGCTGTTACTGGCGCCAAGTGAGCAGAGGATAAGGATGCTGCTAAACATCCTGTAATATACAGGACAGACTCCCGCCTCTAGCCACAAAGAATTACCTGCTCCAAAATGCCAATAATGCCACTGTTGAGAAAGCCTGATTTAGACTCATGCCACCAGGGGAGGTCTGGAAGGAACTGGAGAAGAAAAGGGCTGAGGGCTGTGTGTGGGCACATGTGTTGCAGTTAAGGGTGGGGAGGAGGATTCTAGCAGGAGCTGGAGCCCATTTCCAGCACAGGAGCTCCAGCGTGGCCAGGTACATAGAAGGGCAACTCCCCACTGCCCCCATAGATGTGCAGTTGAACCAGCAAAGCTGCCACATCCGGCAGTTTAATTATTTTTTATTTTTGTGACAGAGTCTTGCTCTGTTGCCCAGGCTAGAGTGCAGTGGTATGATCTTGACTCACTGCAACCTCTGCCTCCTGGGTTCAAGTGATTCTTGTGCCTCAGCCTCCCAAGTAGCTGAGACTACAGGTGTGCACCACTAGCTTGGCTAATTTTTGTATTTTAAGTATATACATGGTTTCACTGTGTTGGCCAGGCTGGTCTTGAACTTCTGACCTCAAGTGATCCTCCCGCTTTGGCCTTCCAATGTGCTGGGATTACAGGTATGAGCCACTGCACCCGGCCCCTGCAGTTTAATTCTTAGAGTCCCCTTCATTCTCTTGAGAATTGTGTCTAGACACCATTTTTTCTGCCTAGGGAGAACTGGAGATGGAGGTAGTGCCTGACAAGGGCCATTTTCCCCCCTTTCCAAATGCCTGCTCAGGGGTGGAGGTGTGAAGCCACAGGGAAGACAAGTTACTCTCCCCACAGGTCTCCGCTATGCCTTGCCCGACCAGCAGAGGGAGCTGCCCTCTGTCCCTGGCCGAGAATCGCCTCCTCCCGCCTGCTTGGGAACCTCCTGTGCGTCCACAACATTTGAAAGCTAGTAGGTTGATTAATAAAAATAATAAAGTGCAGCAACCCCGAGGAACAACTAGATTTCAATTGAATTTTTAAAAAAGACGTGGTCCTGTGAAAAGACATAACTGATTACAGTCCAATCAAGTGAAAGTCCGTTGCAGAAGATAATGCAATCTTTCTGCTTAGATGAAAGAATTACATTAGCACTCAATAAATTCCTGTGAAAATTACAGCAGCCTGCAATTTAATGGCTTAATATATTATATTAGGTTGGAAAGTCCCAATTATAGTTGCTAAATAAAAGTTGGAGTTGAGACATTTTTTATGCAAAAGGTTGCACTAGCTAAGCTTACTCCTATCATTTCGCCTTAACCCCAAAGGGGCAGAAGGGAAAGGCTGAACTCTACTTTTCATGCTTCCTCAGCTCCTGGTCCAGAGCCTGGCTCTTAGGAGCCCTGAATTTATTTTGTGGAAGTAAACTGCTTTCTCGGGAGCCCCTCTTCCCACATCTCTCTGCCAAGGATGCTCTCATATAAGTCTCTGGAGAAGGATCCGGGGCTCCTGGGTGCTAGAACATGCCTCAGCCCCTTTTCCCGAGCAAAAGCTGTGATTCAGGTGAGGGAGGGTGGGGCCTGACCCAACCAGGAGATTCACCCTGCAGGGTGCTGAGTTCCTGCTAGGATGGCCAGCCCTGCCAGGTCCTGCCTCTCCCCAGCACAGGCAAGAGGTAAACCACTGGGGTGCTGGGAGTTTGCATGACTGCTGTTTAATTACTCTTTGCTGTCTCATTCTCCTGGTATGAACTTCCAGGAGGAGAGTGTTGAGTGCTGGTGCCTCCAAGAGGCCTCCCCGGAGCCTGAGAGAGTGCAGATGAGAAACCCCTGCTCTGGGCACTTACACTGGGGCAGGCGTCCTCTCCCTGCTGCCCAACGAGGATGTACAGCATGTCGTCTTTCTCCAGGTTGAAGATGCCCAGCACAGACACGCCGTGGGACCGCATCATGGTATTCTTCCCGCCTTTCCCGCCAGCAGCTCCGTAGCCCGAGATGCTGTAATGGGACAAAGAATGTCGGCTCCCGCTGTGGTATGAAGACGCTCCCCATTCCTGCCAACCCAGCAGCTTCCAGTGGGCTGAGCACATCCCCGTCATGGTCTGAGGGTTCTCCCCCATATCAGTCCCTGCAGAAAGGGATTCCTCTCCCCGTCTTCAGGAGAGGATGGTCAAGTTTAGAGAGGGAGAGGGAGTTACCTCAGTCACAGAATTAGGAAGGTTAAAGACTAGTAAAGGGTGCAAGAGAGAAAGAGAGGAAAAGGGCAGGGAGGAGAGAGGGAAGAAGGGAGAGAAAGAGGGGAGAGAGAGAGGGAAACAGCAGAGAAAGAGAAGACTATATGAATGTGGCATATTGGGGTGATGACTTTCTGAATACCTAGGATTTCCTCTTTATGGTTTTCTCTCCTTGTCCCAGATCAATGGACTCATGTGACCTTAGACAAGTAACTTCCCTATTCCTCATCTATAATATGGGGATAATAAGTGAACTTGCCTCCTAGCCTACATGTGTTATGAGGATTAAAGAAATTAAGACATGTGGTCTTAGAATTGTGGCTAATAAGCACTCAATAAGTATTACTTAATTATTATTATTATTATTGTTAATGATGGTAGTAGCCATAATTGACTGGGTACAAAGTTGTAAAGTCTCTCCATGGGGTCTGGAAACAAGGAGGTTCCACACAGAATGATTGAGGAAAGCAGTGTGTATGAGCCAACTGTCTATTCCCATCCCGCCAGTAACTCCTTCTGGAGCAATGTGTGTGCAGACAACAAACAACCCATCAGGATGAAAATAAAAACAGAGCGTGGGGATGGGAGATGATTTCTGCTGCCTCTTAGGCTGCGGCAATGAAGTCAAGCAAGGATGGGGAAGAAAAGAACTCTCTTCTGTAGTATATCAGAAGAGCGACATGTCTTGAAGACAGCTAGCGCACCAGCTAACAAATGGGTCCCCAGAGACCAGCTGCCAGGGTACAGGACTCAGGAGACTTTCACATCCATGTGTACTCAGATCCAAGGTCTTTTACGAAAAACCAGGAAGAGATGCAAGGCAGTTCTGCCCATGTGCACACAGTAGCTCCTTCATCTATAGTTCCAGGAAATGTCCCTTCTTCCCAGTGTGTGAGGGGGCTCCCAGAGCTCTTGCAAGGCAGAGCCCACGGCCCTTCTGCACAGGCTTTTTGCAAACATGGCAGGCAAGGAACTGAGGTCTTCATGAAATGCAAATGGAGAGTCTAGTGCCCACTGCCCTGGTGGGTGCCTGGGCACTGATGGGAGTTTATCGAATGTTGGGAGGGGTGTAAGGCTTTGTGGACCTGAGACAGCTCCAGGCTCTTCAAGAGCTCACAAAGAAACTGGGGAGATGATCTTCATGATGAAAAGAGAAGTCTCCCCATAGGGTGGCTACGTTCAGGAGGCGAAGTGGGGGGCTCCGGGGCTCCCTGATCAGATGGGGCCATTTCCTGCCCCTGTGCCCTCTCTGAGCTGAGCCCCAGCCCCTTCCCTAGTAAGAGAAGAATCGTTTTCATTCCAAACAACACAATAGTCCAACACAAGGAGCTCATGGGTGAAAGCCCCGGGGAAGCTGCGAATCTCTGGCCAAAGTAAGGGTCATCAGGTGCTTAGGGCCAGGAGGGAGATGGGGGACTGCAACAGGTGGTTCTGGGGTGTGAGGATGGGGTGAGGAAGGCTGATGTTGGCTTCATGTGGAGCTTGCAGATGGGTAGGGCTCTGAGACAAACAGAAAGAGGTGGTGGGAATTGGCGCTAGTGTGAACGGAAGTGAAGAAGCAGGGAGCCTCTGGTATGTATGGCTGCAGCAGGTGGATGGAGTGGGAAGCTGAGGGCTGTAGGTCTGGAGAGGGCTGTGGGCTGATCACCAGCATCCTCCAATGTACCAGGCACGACGCATGCTCACAGGCACACGGCATCACCCGATAGCCATAAACAACAAATGTTATTAATCTCATTTGACAAATGAGGAAACTGAGGCTCAGAGGCACTAAATAACTCATCTGAGGCCACACAGCCAGTCAGTGGCTGGCTATGGTCCAAACCCTTGCACATCCCCTCTTAGAGGTCATTTCCTCCCCAGTGTGCTGCTGGGAAGCACAAAGAGAGGGGTGTGAGAAGCTATTCGCCCCTCCGAATTCCCAGACCCTCAGCCAAACACTCCCTCCTGATCCATTAGAAATGGACAAGGTGATAATGATAATTAAAAGGCTGAGGAAAAGGACGGCTTATTGGTGAAAGGTAAGAGGAGGCAGCATTATTTAGCTCAGTGAACCTGGGTAGGGGACGATGTGGCGGCTTCCTGTCGTCTGGGGACAGCAGTGTGGATGGGCCCCAACTCTGACCTGCTCGCTTCCCCAGGTTTCTGGGGCCTGGTCAGGCTGCATAAAAAAGTCATCTCCACCTGAAGATGTGGTTTGCTTGGAAAACTTCTGCCCAAGACGAAGTCCTCAACCTCCCCGCTCCTGCTGTGGTTGAGTGGTAAGCATCATGCTGCCCATTCCTTTTGGCATCATTTGCATAGTCATTTGCATCAACCATGCATTATGAATCATTCTGGACTCTTTCGTATGTTTAAATTTAGCCAAATTATTATATTTTAGACATTGTTTGTTCCTGACTCCTTTTACCCTTCCTAAGCCTTCTTTGCTATTTTTCCCACCCTGCTCCCCTCAACGACCTTTGAAAGCCAGCCCCATCTATGTCTTGACCTAGTTCTTGATGGTGAGCTGGGATGGAAAAAGCCCTGGGCTCCAAGTCATCTGCTGGTTCTTGTCCCTGTTCTTTTGACTGTGTGACCTGAGGCAACATGGTCCATGTCTCAGAGCCTCAACTTCCACTACTGAGGAAGAAAATGAAGACAAGAACCCCTGCTCTCATGGGCATACAAAACGAATCTGAGAAGACTGCAAACCCATGCAAAGCACAGGGCGAGACCGGGGCTGGGGTCAGCTTTCTAGATTCCTAAGCAGACAGTAGAGCTTGGCGAGCAGGTGTCCGTGGCTGGGTTGTACTTTCCTGGGTAGTGGCCTCAGCCCCACATTTCCAACCCAGAGGAGAGGCTGGCTTAAAGTCAGGGGGAGCAGGCAGCTGCCTGCCTGAATTTATTGCAGGGGTCCTAGAAGGAGTAGCTCCCTCATCAGTCCCCTGAAGCCTAAAATTCCACCATTAGAGCTTCACTGCTCTGGAAGCTTCTAGTTGCTACTACAGGGCTGATTGCCTTCGGAGTGGGATGTGCCACAGGTAGAAAAGCAAGGGCTTGAATGCAGACAGACCTGGATCCAAATCCCAGCTCTGCCACTCAGGGCCAGGAGTAGGCTGAGCCCAGCGAGGTGCCTCCCTCCCAGGGAGGACCTTGCACTCTATTGACCCTGAGAGAAAGCACCTCCTTAAATTTTCTGCCCAAGGTACTTTGCTTACCTCTCCCTGGTCCTGACCCTGCCAGTGTTACTCACTAGCTGTGTGAGCTTGGGTAGGTTATTTACCCTCTCTGAGCCCAGATTCCTCATGTATAAAAAGGGGATAATAATACCTACCTTGGAGGGCTGTTATGAGAATTAAATGAGATGATGCTTATAAGGGACCTACTTCAGAGCCCAGAGGATAGCCAGCAAGTGACAAATGGCAGCTGCTGTCATCCTGTGCCCCCATGGGTGAGCCTGTCCACTCCTTCTCCGGGGGTGACTTCTGGGATGCAGAAGGGGACCAAGTGGGTGAACCAGGGCATGGCCAAGGGGGCTTGGGGTCAAGGCTGTTCAGTTTCACCCAGAGCCCACTTCTGTGTAAAGCACAGGGCAGCCTTAGCACTTCTGAAGACTCCTGCACCCTGTGAATCACATTACACAAACTCATGCTACGATAATAGCCTCAGCCTGCCTCTTCGAAGCTTTCTCCCCATCCCTTGTAAACAATTTATTTTTGATGGTTGAGAAACAACAAGAAATTAATATACCTGCCACTCAAGTGGGGAAAATGACTCACAGTGATTCCAATTTACTGGAAATTACAAGATACTGCTCTCGACGAGCTGATGCTGTAATTTTTTTGTTTTTCCTCATCTAAATCCATGTCCCCTGGTCAGAATAGATGTTTATTGGGTTTGTGTTTTGTATTATTGACTGCGAGCCATTGTTACCTGATGTCATTGAGTTGTGAATCTTTTTTAAATAAAGAATTAGCAGCAAATCAAAGTGACTGCCTGCCAGATCCTGAAATGAGAGCACAGCTGGTGTGTAGCACAACCACAGTGTCCACACCCACATGGGAGATCCTGGGGGAGAGAGTGGACTCCCACTCAGAAAAACGGAAGCGCCCCATTCCTTTCTGGCACACCCTCCGGAGGAGCGGGAGAGCAGCACCTTGCTGTGGGCTCTGCCTTTAACTCCCCATGGGATCCTGGGCAAGGTCCTTTTCTCTCCTGTTTCTCAGTTTCCTCATGTGTGAAATCAGGATGGTGAGGTCTGTCCTACCCACCCTGCAGGGTTATTGTGATAACACATGATGCGTGTGAGTGTGGATGGAGATTGGACAGCGGGAGATTTCTGATCAGGTAATATAGTGTTATATAGTATATAGTTGTATTATCCAGATAGGGGTCAGGGTTGAAGGGCTCAATTGTGGAGGCAGATGCTTTTCAGTGGGGCCGGCCCAGGTTCCACTCTTGTGGTGTCAATGAGCAAGATTCATGCTCTGTTTCTCCCTCAGCACCTTCCTGGCCAGTGTAGCCCTAAGTGTCTCGAAACACCTGAGCTTGCAGGGACTTCAGTGACCTCTCTCCATAACTTCTCGCTCTGCAGATGGAGCCTCTGGAGAGGAGGGAAGACAACTTTCTAAGTCACATGGAGCATTGGTGGTGGAGGTTGAACTCAAACTTAATTCTGCCTGCAGCCCATCCATCTTTGCCTAATTCCTCCATCTCTGACATTCCCTGGTCTGTGCCCTTTACAGCGATGGCTATCCATACAATTACTTTGGCAATTAATCA